CTCCCCCGCTTTAAAATGAATATTTTAGTCAGATTTGCAAACTTTTAAGCAGGGTAGTGAAAATCCGCCATAATTCGAAAAAAAAGAACGGAGTGCCCTTTTGTTGATCAGGGTCATGGAATCAAAACAATTCCGGGAACACAAACTTGCTTTTCAGCAACTACCTTAGCCAGTATTTAGTTTAGCCTGAACACGACTATTGCCATTAGGCTGATCTCGTAAATTTGCATATCGACTAGACCCAATTTCATTCACGCATGGGAGGAAACAGCGGTTGGCGTGGAATAAGATACGCCCAAACTTGTTAAGAATAAACATATTTTCATTCCGGACATCTACCTTCCATGGTTTAACTATGATTACGTAGTACAGGAAGCATGAATGTATACAGGATAGTTGTATAGTTATAAAAAAAATACCCAAACAAATTCAGAAAGTTCTAATTTTTCCGAGTGAACACAATTCACGGACGTGCTCGCGATGCCAGACAAGACATGCCGAAATGAATAGAGAGTAATATAAAAATAAATCTACCAATTGAACGTTAAAGCGGGGAGTCGTTACCTGCGCATGCGTCAGATGGTCATAACGAATCCTTTATATGAAATCGAGAATCGCTCTTGTATCCACCGTAAGAGCGTTTTTGTACAGTCGATATTGCTGTGTGTACGGATTACGGCGGAGTGAACAATGGCGCCCCACCGTCTATTGGGGAAAGCTTGACCTGTGTCACGTGATCGAAACTGGTTGCTAAGAAGGTAAAGCTTGGCCACGCGAGATCTCGTAGTGAGCGTAATATGGCTTATTAACCAAGTCGATTGAACACGCATATCACACGCTAGGATGGGATGGGATATTTTATTTTGCACGTACACAATACAGAGCTAGTGTAAAGTTCCAAATAACACATACAAAATAAGCTAAAACAATTCTACTAAAACATGAAAAACTAGACTACTACAAATACAAAAAAAATCGAAACAAAAATATCATCTCTAACTAATTGTTGTAGGTTAGGGGCATACACACAGATTGACATAGTCACTCTATGTGACACTACATTCGTTAGTATCGAACCTTCTCCCTGTAATCTTATTGATAATCGCTGCCTGTAATGCAGACAGACCAGTTGTTGAGATTTCTACCGGTACACTAATCGGCACTATGGCAACTCCGAATCCAGTCATTATGATTACACCAAAATATGGCTAGGTGAATCGCTAGGCAACTACATAATGAGCATAAGATGCTGAGTCACATTTAATAACAATGGCTACTTATACGCATGCGTATTCACAAGCGTATTCAGACCGGCTCACTTGTCATTCAGTCAATGCTGGCGGCTCCATAGCTAAAATGGTAACGGTGTACATCTCTGCACTCCTTGTAATATTGCTAGTCAGCGCATGTAATGCAGACATACCAACTATTAAGATTTCTACCGGTACATTAATCGGTACCGTGGAAGAATTCAGCAGTGAATTTGTGGACGGTACACGGCCTGTACATGCTTACAGGGGTATACCGTACGCTGAACCACCGGTTGGTGACCTGAGGTTTGCACCGCCTAAACCCAAGACACCGTGGCAAGGGGAGTACGATGCTACCGACTTCCGTACTGCGTGCATACAGCCAGACTCTCCACTGGTACCTGTGGACAAAATTCAAGACGAAGATTGTCTGCACTTGAATGTTTACGTCCCACAGCCACAGGTAAGTTG